AGGATAAAACATTCATAGTAGAAGCTTCAATCAAGGAATTTCACTTTCAAAACAGCTGGTACCAAACAACATGTCCAATTTGTAAAGATCCCATTTTAGAAGAGGCGAACAGTGGTATTGCAGTGCACATGGACCTCATTGAAAAGCCAACCTACACGTAAGTATCTCTCAAGCATACAGAAAACCATTATTCACCAACTATACTGCTTACAAGTTTCTTTATAATCAATAGATGCAAAATCCACAGTCACCATTACCGACACTACAGACACCATAACCTGCGGTTGTATCCGAAACAGCGTCTCGGAAGCTGTTAAAATCATCACTTCAAAAGTTTATATCTGACAACCCGCTCACAAGCAGAAACACCTCCCTTCCATCATCACTGATCAAAAAGAACAAACAAAAACAATGTGTATCCAATGCTTAGGACATCAACAACCGACAACATCCGTTTCATAATAATTGACATCCAAGAATCAACAACGCCATCAGAGACACTGTCCCAACAACACCAGCCGTACCGCGGATGATAAGAATGCGACCAGATGACGGAACACTAGAGCCAAGCAGACCTCCTCCTCGCCTGTGGCACGCACTCTCACCTTCACTCCACCAGGTAAAAGTTGATGTACTGAAATAAAAAATAAACAACAAAATACCAAAACAAATACTAATACCTTTTCATTTCTCCTATCACAGGGCCACCACCACCAAAAAATCAAAAACAAAAACGAACCACAAAATAGCAGATATCATGAAACAGCACTAAGAAATCCAACTTTTGTTTTGGACAATATGTTTATCTTTTGTAACAGACATGCTAAACAACTATCATATGTATATAACAATAATAAACAGACACCTTTGCATGCTTCCACTTTTCCAAAATTTCACAAAAAACAACCTATACAAATGATACTTACATAACAATGTCAATATTAATATCACACTAATATAAGCGACATACTTATCCTACTCTATATAATATAATCACCACATATACAATTAAATAAATTTTATACAACAACAATTAACAATTTACAAACTACAATCGTAAAACAGATACCATAGGGTTAAAAGTAGTGTATTCAAATAGATATACATGCTACAAAGCATATTGAAGACAAGCCAGCTATTATTTCGATTCGTATATTATCCCATTTTCCAAAACAAATATACCTCTTGTAGTCAAAGATTTCCCCAGATATTACCCATTTAATACCACACCCAAACCCAACAATCACATCTATCAAATAAGGAAAAAAAGGTCACAGCCACCTAATTCACTGCCTCTAATAAATACAATCCAACAACCACAATAATCTCCTATAAAATCATACACCAAAGATATCGACTTCTCCACCAACACCAAACATACAACATGGAAGCGATCATGCAGAAACTTCAAGACCAACTCCAGACAATGAAGGAATCATTGGCAATCGTTCAAAGCACACATACGAGACAAGGACAACTATAAAAGAACACCGGTCGACATGCCGTACACCCACATTGTCATCACGGACACCTTCATCAAAGACCTCGACCAAGACAACGTCATCATGCTGGACATGTTCGAAACGATGCAAGACAACATGAGTTCAGCAATAGACATCTGCAGGAAGATCATTCGAGACCATGAAGCACCGTGACGACAAATACCAGTCCAACAATTTTGTAATCAAATGTTCTATAGTCATCCTTTAATGGATCGACAGTTTTGTAATCGAATATCCTATAACAATCCAGTAATGAATGATAAACTTTTGATGCTTATCCCCTAATATATTTATCTATTCTATAAACGGATTCTTTATATGTGAAAATACATACGAAATTTTCTGACCAAAACTTCTAACCGAGATCATATGCCGACATCAGGTCCCTCTGCCCCCCGCTCTGCCCCCGCGAAGCGGGGGTTAGCAATCTAGTTAATATATATGGATATAAATAATATATATTCAAAATTCTTATCAATTGAGCATAAGTCAATCTTAGCTTAGTTGGCTGAAGAGTTCGTCGCGTGTTTTTGGCATACGAAATTCACCCACGTTCGAATCTTTCTGCTTTCATTTTGCAACTCTCTATAAGAGTACACACAAGAGACAATCGTCGTAACCCTCTATATTCAACCCAATAAACTTTTACAACTCTTTTATGGGCCCATGTTCCATAAATATAATGTTTTTTTTTATATTGCTCAAATTCTATACGAAAAAATTATATAACCAATAAGAGAAATAAGGTCAAAAATTAGAGATGATTTGGGGATAGGATAAGACACGTTTGCTAAACACAAAAAAAAGGGGAATTCTTAATCAATTTATTTTTCATTTATCGCAATCATTCTTTTAACTTCTCTATCTCTCTAGATTTTGTTAGTTTCTCAGTTCTCATCACATCATCATATGATTGCATAGTCTTGGAAATTGTCTCATCTATGATGCTTAGATATTTGATTTAAGTATATAAAATAATCTATTCCATTAGACACCAGACACCAGTCGATCGATTTCGATTGGAGTCCATTGTCCACTTATAGTGTAATTCATGTTTACATGTATTGATTCTGAAATAGTTAAACGTAAAAATCATCAAGTGGTTGATTTGTTTGCTATGTGTTTGAAAATTGAAACCAAATTAGTGAAATGCCCAATAAAAAATGATGAGAATAAACAATTGTCGTATTTAAGTATTTAAGTGGAGAATAATTGAATACCGAATTCTTCATAATGCCTTAGCCTTATTGAGCTTCCTACTTCTAGTCTTTTTTTTAATTTTTTATTTTGTAATGTTTTTTTAGGGTTTACAACAAAAAAACAAATAATTACTCTAACATTGGTTGTGGTTTTTAGAGCAGACAAAGACTTTGTCAGACAAATATTAATTTTGTAATTTTGTAGTTTATAATTTCGTTTAAACTTTTAGGTGTTTCGTTTCTCTTCTAACATTCGATATATTTTATAATTGAGAATTTTAAATTATAGTAATCCGAAAGGGCCCAATTTTTTTATATTTGCCCCGGGCCTTCAATTGGCTAGGACCGGCCCTGATAGTGAGAAGGTTTAGAAGAGGAGTGTATGAGGGGTGTTGCTATTAATACATCATTTAGACACTCTATAGACATCTTTACCAAAAGTCAACCTATAGGTAACTAGTTTTAATCATCTTTTTTCAAAAAACGATGCAATTTTAACCAATAAAAATATCTTAAAAACTATATTGGGTGTCCCTTTAGCTAACCCCATGTAGGAGGGGTTTATGAAGTAGGGCATTTTAATTTGTTTTATTATATAAATGCAAATAATAAATCCAAATAAAAAAATCATAAACGGAAAAGGTCATTTCAAGTTAGTGAGGGACAAAAATGCAATAAAAAACACACTAGAAACGGTCTAAGAAAAAAAAACCTTAAGGACCACGCATATTGTTTATAAAAACCACATGATTTCAGTAATTTGTACTAAATATTACTTCAAAAACAAATTCATTTGTCTATATTTAAAATTTGTCAAATGACTTTTTATTGATAAGTAGATGTGTTCGGCACACAACTTTTGAGAACTTCTAACTTCTAATTTTTAACAAAAGAACTTAAAGAAAAAAAATAATGCAACTAGTGTTTAACAAAAATCTATTTTAGATTTTTAGAAATTAACTTAAATAAATTTTTAAATAAATAAATCATATCCACACTATTGGTCAAAGACCAGAAGCTACGCGAAAATTTTCATTGGATCTCGGTTGTTCTTAACAGCGATGGCTATTCATTTAAGTCTTCGGGTAGCACCACTAGACCTTCAACAAGGTGGAAATTCTCGTATTCCTTATGTACACGTTCCTGCGGCTCGGATGAGTATTCTTGTTTATATCGCTACGGCTATAAACACGTTCTTGTTCCTATTAACAAAACATCCCCTCTTTCTTCGCTCTTTCGGAACCGGTACAGAAATGGGTGCTTTTTCTACGTTGTTTACCTTAGTTACTGGGGGGTTTCGGGGAAGACCTATGTGGGGCAACAACTTACTGTCTTGTTTTCTTCGCTGCTTATTTTTTTTTTTTACAAAAGATTAAACGAAAGCGGTTGCTAATGCTTGTAGCTTGCTTCTGTCCTTAGTCAATTTTGGACTGAAGCTGTTCTGACTGCCGTATCTTTTTTGAACCGAATACCTTCCTCTGTCATCTCTGGTCTGTCTCTTTTTGAGAGAAGATTTTATATCTCTGGTCTGGTCTTGCGTCTTGCACTAGAACAGGGAAATCGCTACTAAAGCACTTTCTCTCATGAATTGAAAGAGTTCTATCTGGGTCAAAATGCTACGGCTTGCTTATACTCTTGCAAGCAAGGCGAGAAGCGATTCTCTTAGCCGGCATACCCGACGAATCAAAAAAGCTATAATAAGGCAATCCATGGGCATGGAACCCCGAAATAGCCAATCGGGGGCATCCCTCCCTGTTGTTGTTGATTGAACAGTGGAGATTCTCATACTTTTTAGCTGACTTCTTGCTTCCTTCGTACATTAGCTTCACTAGACTGTTGAGCTATAGACTTTAGACTGACTGACTCCATGGCACTAGTTAATAGCTATCATAGATCGTTCCGGCCAGTGATCATTTGGAAGATCACTGTCCTCCACTTGCCTAACTACAAGAGATTCTAAATCGTATCTCACCGTATTCGTTCCATTCGTTCGTCCTCACTCATGTAACAATAACCAATCGATGAAAGAACATGAAACCATTCTGTTTCAATAGAGGTACGAGAAAGGGTTGGGGGCAATGAAGTAGGTGAAGTGGTTGGATTTTGCGAGTTGTTCCCACCACTGCTGGATGTGATTCCAAGAGCCGAACGAGAATGAATACCACACAGAAAAGTCAAGACCAGGCTCCCTAATGGAATGTTTAACCGATCCATTCCGGATCGACCGAATTGGTACGGAAGTTGTAACATGGGAAAACCACGGAAAACACGACTTATTTGAATAACCCGGTGACCTACCAATTGTAGAAGTAGGATTTTTGGCAAGCAATAAGCACTTAAATAATACAATTCAAGTGTACCATCTTCGTAGTCAAATCTGATGATACGCTTTGGCGATGTTACCTACCAAAGAAAAGGCCTGCTAGGTGATCGAAATCGCTCAGGTCAGCGAGGACTCCTATCTACCGTTGGTGTTAAAGGGAGAACTGCGAGGAGCCAACCCTAGTACGAGAGGACTGGGTTGGGCCAACCTATGGTGTACCGGTTGTTATGCCAATAGCAGCGCCGGGCAGCTAAGTTGGTATGGAAGAACTGTTGCGCCGCGGGAAATCCTTCTCTATACAAGTTCTCGGACGAGGTTTTTGAACAGAACTTCGATAACAGTAATTATCTTATATGATTAATATAAATATATTTTAATCATTATGAGGTCCTTATTTGAAACAACCATATGTAGATTTTATAACTTATTAGTTTTCATCTAACAAACTAATAAATATTTATTATATGAATTTATAAACCAAAATCTAATAACATAAAATAATATTGTTTCTTTTAGAACACCGAAACTCTTGTAATATCTAAAAAATATTTGGTATGGGTTCTTAGAAAATTGAAATATCTTATTTAATTTATTTGTAAAATACTAAACATTTATGCTATGTTTGGTCTGCTAACTCACAACCTAATTGTTAGCTGAAAAGTTAACTTATAATAGAAAAACTAGTTGTTATATGAAAAACTAACCGATAGCTAAAAATTAACTGATAAAAAATATCATTTGATAAACCTAGCTAATTAGCTAGCTGAAAAATATAAAATGATATCATTAGTTAAGCGCATATTTGGAAAATTTTTTTAAAAAAAAACAATCCGGAAAACATATGCTATGTTTGGCATATTAGCTGAAAAGTTAAATATAACTGAAAAAGCTAGCTACTAAAAAATG